AACTAGGCCTCCTAATGTTATGTGACAATATATATGGCGATATATATTACATAATATAATATATAATATATATGTTCCTCTATATCTAAGTAGTTAGTACCTCAGTAACTCTCAGTAGAGAGAGAGAGAGAGAGAGAGAGAGAGAGAGAGAGAGAGAGTAGAGAGAGCGATTTTTCTTGAGCATACTGTAGGGGGAGGGGGGGCGCGCCTTACTCCAAACCAGGCTCGAGAAGGGGGCTGGATTCAGGTGCTGCGGCAGTATGGTATTGAGGCCGCGCGATCCATGAGGTGACGTGAGGTAATGCCCCAGGCTAATCAGTCCTTCGGGACATCCGTAAAAATTGGAGCGATACTTGGAAGGGTAGCATGGCCCAGGCGCGGGGGTGGACGCGTATAAATCGTGGGAACTTTCTCCTTTCCCGCATTTGTCAGTCAAAGTTTCCTTCGCGGTTCGAGCATAGGGAGCCGGCCTTGTTGACGACAACAAAGCGGGCTCGAATGAGGGACCGGGCGAGCGAGAAGGGTTGACGAGGAGGAAGACGAGTGAGGGAGGTGACGGTCGGGCGGGCGTGGCGCCGAGCGTCAGAAATGCAGTGCTAGCAGCGAGGGAAGAGAGATTGAACTTGGGCGAGGGAGTGTGCCGGGTACATAATGAGGGCCGAATGGGCTATGTCGGAGTGAGCGGGGAGTGAGCGGATGGCGAGCGCTAAGCCGGAGCAGCTGCAAAAGAGAGCGGAGGTAGCAGACGAAGGCTGAAGTTGGCAGGGTAGGGAGGAATGAACGTGGTGCTATTTGGGGCCCGGTGCGTTCGAAGAAGGGCAGAAAGAGTACGGGCAAGAGAGGGGCAGCGCTCCTTAGAAGGAGACGGACAACGCTACGAAGAGGTGAGGCAGGGTGAATGAATCGGGACGTGAAACTAGGCTGCGTGCATATGGGGTGAGGGAGAAGAGACTATGGCGGAGGGCTAAGCTCGTAGCTCGCCCATTCCGCAGTCATTTTAGAAGAGGGAAAATGGTAGATAGGGGTTCTTCGATCCGACGAATCATATGGAGCAGTCGAATTAGTGAACAGAGTGGTGTGCGGGGAAGTAGGGAGAGAAGGGGCTGCGCGGATATGGCCGGAGGTAGCGAAGGAGGGAGAGGGAGAGTAAAATTGGGAGAGCTCGGTCATTATATGATCGATCTTTGAGATCTAAGGTGCTAAACTAAGTTCCCTGCCTAGGGCGAATCCGTTGATGCGATCGGAGTAGCAAGAAAGTTAGTGTACGAAAAGTTAGTAAGAAAGTACAGTGCGGGGAGACATGGCGGGAGCTATTCATGGTGGGACAGAGAGTAGTGTATCTCGCCCGATGCGTAATGAAATCGGACGAGTGAAGGTGTGAACCAGGGATTTTGGCCCCGGGCGGGGTGATTGGTGAGGTTGGTTTGGCCGTCGGGTTAGTGAGGTAGGAGTTTAGTGAGGAGGAGGGTGCGCCGGGAGATGGCGGGAGGCGTTATGGCAGAAAGAGGGAAAAGTGATCTCTCGCTCGATTCAAAACGGAATCGAGCGAAATAAGGTGGTGAACAAGGTTCTTCTTATACTGCGACTCGATCGGTAAGGGCACTTCGACCAGTAGGCTAGCGAGTTAGGAGTTTGTTGCATAGAAAGTAGGGGCTAAGTGTAACGGATGCACCTACCCACTTTTTAGCGGAAGGTTTGCTCGGCATTTGCCTGTTCCACTGAGAGGGCAGCACGAGGCCAGTCGCAGGGTGGCGAACCTACCTATTGGCCAGGGAACTCGAGCGAGAGGTTCAGTCGGCTGGCTCCTCCCGACAAACGATGTTGTAGCCGGTCCTTCGCGCATGACAGAGGGATAGGGTATCATACCGTGATTTAGTGGAGACTCATCCGATTTTGACTGTCCTATTTCTGACAAGTAATGTGGGGCCGGCTGCACCACGCACAGAGAGAGAGGGAAGGAAAGAGGGAATACAGCAGGTAAGGCGGTAGGGGGGGGGGACCTACCCCGGCGGGTGGCCGGATTTGGCCGTGCTCAGGGACCAAAATGCGAGCTACCAGTGCTCACAGTTTCCGTACCTGCAGATAGCGGGCAGTTGGGCACTCGCAGGCATCACTGTCAATGCAGTGCCCTATGATGACTTCGCTAATCTAGCCACCGGGCAACGTGGATAGCTGCAGCTGAATTGCTGCCGTGTTTGGTGAGCGCTCCGCTGACCGCTTTGGTTGTGTTCTTGCTGCAACAGTTGTTGTGCTTACTGCAGGAGCCTGGTTGCGGCGCACTGTCGAGTACTGATGCTAGCTGCTGAGTACTGTTGCGTAGTACCGCTGACCGGTGCGGACGGCTGCTACGTCTGGGGTTTGTGCACAGACCGCTGCTACATTCGGCGTGCAAACT